TAAAAGCATTTAAATGATTTAGGAAAAGTGAAGCATTAGGAAGAAGGTAGCACTTTCAAATCCAAATCTTACCTGGTCAATTGAAATGGAACAACACCCCTGAAAGCCTTCTTGATTTGTGCTCCTCTCCTCAAGGGACAACTAAATCACGGCAGCCTATATTCTTAAACCCTCAAAGAAAAATCAGGAAGCTTGATCTGTGCACATAATGGCCTGCATAATGTAAGAAAGCACCGTTTCTTGGCAACTAGAAAACAATCCTTTTCAATTAACTCACAGCAATTGGCCCACATTTGTTGTTAAACACAGAGTAAAGAAAATGTTTTAAGAACTCAAAAGAACTTGGTAATAGCTCCACCAAGAAAGTCGGATCAGTTTGTTCATTTTGAAAAGCATTTTTAATTAATTGACTGCCCATTCCAATTGCCTTACTCTTTCCTAAGACCTTTCATTGACATACCTGTCTCACTTCCTTGTTGCATATTATTTACTTAGAACCCCAATCCTGAATAGTTGCATCTGCTATTGCAGTGAAAACCGGAAAGATAGTTCTAGCAAAGCAGTGGCATGTAATGTTATCCTGCTCTTGTTCATCTTGTATACCATATTTACTTTCTAAAGTAAAGAAAGTAAAGTTTTCTTCTCTGCCAGCTTCAGTGTAGTCCCGGATGTTCATTAGGATACATAATTCAAAGCAGTTGTAGGTTATATTCTCTTAGCTGTTAAAGACCACCTCCAGCAGGCATAAATTTTAGGTGATATATAAGAAGTGCAGCTGGGCTAGATTGATTTTGTGCTACAGTAACTGTTTTGAAGGGGCTCATATATACTTATGAGAATTTGGACAATCTTCTTAGGGCACTGTGCATTCTTACCTATGTATTGGGAATTTCATGTATCAGAAGGAATCCATATATGGGACCCCTATGTAAGAATGTCTGTTCAGAAAAGCAAGTGCTTAAGTGGCTCAGTTGATTAAGCATCCAACTCTTGATTTCCACCCAGGTTATGATCTCAGGGTCTTGAGATTGAGCCCCGTGTTGGCCTCCGCACTAGGCATGGATCTGCTTAAGATTCTCTCTTTCCCTTGCTCTCTGCCCCTCCCCTCCTAAAAAAAAGGCAAGTGGTGAGGAAAATACAAGTTATACACGGATAATTTTTGCTGTTAAACTTTACCATTACAAATAGCAAAGGTTTAACTATCTGTATGATTCTATTTCCCAAATGAGAAGATAGCTAAAGATGGATAATTTCCATATCCAACCAAAGCCAAATTGCTTGAATTTTGTCTTTATCCCTCCCCTTCACTTTGCTGGGATTGACCAAGGGTATATATTATAGTGTTTAACTTCAACAGCTCTTTTATTTTCTTTTTTCTCCTTTTATCATCCAAATCTTTCTAAAAGGTGTCTACCTTATCTTGCTATCATTAACAGGCAATTCTTTTTAGGTATTATTTTTAAACTATATCCTTTGGGAGGCATTATCTTTGCATAAAGCACCTTTCTGTTGGTGGGAATTTGAGGCAGTGTTGTATACTGTTGAAGGTGATGTATTTAGGCAGAACTTCTGGCACCTTCAAATCATACTCTTGACAGCTGTGTTCACTTTCTATGGATAGAATGGGCTGGGATAATTTTACAAGTGTTTCTTCAGCTTTAGTACTAACTCTTCCCCTTGCTCACTCTATGACCTTTGGCAGATTTGTTAAACATTTTATGTCTCAGTTCTCTTTTCTGTCAAATGAATTTAATAACATTTACATAGTAGAATTGTTGTGAGGGTTGACCAAGATTACATATGTAAAGCTTCTTAAAACAGTGGCCAGAAGATGGTAAGTGCTCAAACGTTAGTTATGTTATTAACATCCTTGTTATTAGTATTCATGAACTAAATAATTTCCAAGGTCTTTTTCAAAGTTAGGAATTCAAAAATCCTATATAATTCTTATGTAAAAATCTGAAGTAATGTAAAAAAAGGTTCTTGAGGCATTTAATATAAAACTATTTTTCCCTTCTTAATAGATCAATCCTCATTTACTATCTGTCTAATATTTAGAACTGTTGTATGCCCTTTCACTAATAAAAGAAAACACACATTTATTTAAAAAGTGAGATGTTTCTTTACCTTTATGAAAAATGCACTCATATTAAATACATTGACTTAGCTTAGCCATAGGCATAGAGAAACAGAAATTCTGAAGAATTTTTCAAGACATTTTATTACATGTAATACAATTATTAAAAGATTCACAAGCCTTTCCTCTTATATTCCTAAAATGTATGGACCATTTGCTTCAGTGTTTGACATTCCTTTGGGTGTATTTTTAGCCAGCAGCTGCAAATACTAATATTTGAGAGGAAATATATGCTTTTGAGTATTTGCTGTAAACACAGTCCTGCCAGAGTGGGCCATAAAGACTCCACCTGATCCTCTCCAGTTTGAAAGGCAAGTTTAACCTGAGGTAAATCTGTTCTGCAGCTCCCTCAATCAAAATCCCTTGCCCTCTCTCTGCTAGGAAAAAAGTCGAAATTAGTTAAGAGGCCAAATGAACTAGTTTTCCTCAGAGGGATTAGATTCAGCTACTCAGGTAGGTATTTACTATTATCTGCTCTGTACATGACAGTGCAACCCTTGTTTTTTATTTCTGACAGTCTTGTTTGCCTCAGTATCTTGAAATAGCAAATTTTGGCACAGGGGAGATTAACCTATGAAATCTGCAAAACAAAAACAAAAACAAAAACAGAACAAAAAAAACCCTTAAAAGGACAATGTTTGTTTAAAAGTGCTGAACTCTGGAGATTGTAACAGAAATACTCTGTAAAATATCAGTCTGGTGTCTCTCTTCACAGAAGATTACGTGTAATATAAAAGCAGTGCTGAGGGGCGCCTGGGTAGCTTAGTTGGTTGAGCGTCTGCCTTCGGCTTAGGTCATGATTCCCAGAGTCCTGGGATTGAGCCCCAGATCGGGCTCCCTGCTCAGTGGAGAGCCTGCTTCTCCCTCCCCCTCTGCCTGCCACTCTGCCTACTTGTGCTCTCTCTCTCTGTCGAATAAATAAATAAAATATTTTTTTAAAAAAAGCAGTGCTGCATACTCTAGTGGGAAATGTGAATTCTTCATCACAAATTCTATGACGGTCTAACTCACAGAGTAAATTTCCTTCCATAACTCTGAAAAAGTCCTCAAAGTTCAGTCCTACCAGCACAAAAGCATTGCATAGCATGATATATGGCATTTATTAGTAACTTTTGGGTACCCCTATTTTTAATTCAAGTATAATGCTGATTTACATGAGAAACATCAGCATTTAAATAAAAATAAAGTCAGCACTGTTCCACAAATATATGTAGAAGTCATAGATAATCCTTCCACAAATTATCAGTTTGCAAACAAGGTATCAAGTCTCATCTGACACAAATTGATGAGGACTGTGCAAAACAATTCTTTTTTAAAATTTTTTATTATGTTAATCACCATACATTACATCATTAGTTTTTGATGTAGTGTTCCATGATTCATTGTTTGTGCATAACACCCAGTGCTCCATGCAGAATGTGCCCTCTTTAATACCCATCACCAGGCTAACCCATCCTCCCACCTCCCTCCCCTCTAGAACCCTCAGTTTGTTTTTCAGAGTCCATCATCTCTCATGGTTCGTCTCCCCCTCCAATTTCCCCCCTTCATTCTTCCCCTCCTGCTATCTTCTTTTTTTTTTCTTAACATATAATGTATTATTTGTTTCAGAGGTACAGATCTGTGTGTGCAAAACAATTCCTATGGATAGTATTTAATGATGAAATATTTTACAAAATAAAGTATTTTATAAGCATTGACTAAAAATAGGAATAAAATTTCAGCAGATTACAGTCAGTCATAATATAATAGAGGCAAACCAAATATTTCAGAGTTCTCATTTTTGGAACAAGGGAAAAAACATCAGGTATAAGAAATTGCTTGAATGTCTATCAAAAGAGTGCTGTTCCTATAGTCTAGAATTTTAATATGCAAGCCTCACAGTAAGAAACAACTGACCTTGGGAAACTTGTTAAACTTGCAGATTCTTTGGCCCCAAGGCCAGAGACACTCAGACATACTGATTGAATGTCTTCAGTAAGGCCAAGGAATCTGTATTTCAGGAAGTGTGTCCCCTTCCCCCTTCTCCCTGCACTGAAGCTGGTGAGTTTAAGGCCATTGTTGAGAACTACCCATCCAGAGAAACACAAGTTGGCTGGGTTTCTGCTTCTCTGACAGAGGGAACATTTGGATAACTGAAAGAGGAGGAAGGTGGCCCAAGGGAAGAAATGTGATTGGTCATGAGAAAGAGTAGAGAGAGCTCAGTTTCCCGGGGCCAGAGAAAAGGATGGAGAAGGGTGGTGAATGAATCTTGAGAGACAAAGAGAGACAAAGAGAAGATGTGGATATACCTTTAATGGTGTCCTATTTCATACTTGTCATGCCATTTAATGTAATGACATAAAAGCCGGCATTCATAAAATAGGCTATCAATCAGACAGGCCCCTCTTATGTCTCATTTCTTACTATTCCCTTAGCTGACTCCTCTTGTCCTGCTAACTATTCCTTAAAACACAGTGTCTTCCTCTACTTCCTTCACATCTTTCCTTAAATGTCATCTTCTCAAGAGTCCTTTTCTGACCATGCTACCTAAAACCACGCTCACTGCCCAACCTCAGTGACACTCCCTTTTCTCTTCCTGTCTTAGTTTTCCCTTTATCATTTGTTACTGTGTTCATATTGTTCATTTTCTCTCCGCCCCCCCCCCCACTTGACTGTACACTCTATGATGGCAGGGATTTTGACCTGTTTTGTCTCCTGGTATATGCCCAGCATCTAGAATGGTACCTGGAAGACTGTAAGTAGTACTACACAGGATTAAAGAGGTTCCCTATTAAAAGGAAAAGGATTTTATTCAGAGCTAGAAGTAGAGAAAAAGTTTATTTTAAATATTCGATTTTTAAAAAATTCCTCTGTTTTCTTCTAGGAAAAAGAAAAAATAAGAAAGAACTGAAGTATGGGAATCTTTTCAAATGTTTCACTGCTTGAAGGTAGATTTGTTTTCCATTCTTTCACAAAAATAAGCATGGGTAGTTACTGTTTAACTCTATCAAAAGCTAATAATTGTGTCACTTTGGCCTTGGGGAAATGAAAAACAGGAAACACTTTATTGAGGTGCATAGATTCATAAGTAATATTTTAAAAGGTTACCTGAAGGTTGTTTTTGAACAGAACTGTGTTAAGGTAAAATAAAAATATATATTTTTGAAAAGGCATTAAAAAAACTAGAAAGTTGGCCACTGATACTCTGTCTCTTAACAGACATGGCTAAACCTGAGTATTATTTTTTGAACAAAACCATTACAGAAATGAGCTTAAGCAATGGAAATTATTATTCTAATTAATAATGGCAAGATTACTGCACTTTATTGCAGAATGTGTTTCTTCCAAATGACCTGACATATGAAGATTGAGGATAGGAATGACCTCACCAATTCACCTGAAAAGGGAGAAAAGGCCTTGTCCACCTAAAATCTTTCCTTCACTCCTTCCCCAACTCTAGTTCCTTAGAAAAGTCCACTTTTATTTGTATATCACACTGGACTCTCCTCCCATTAATAACATGAAAATACCTCTCAGTTATTTGCAGTGACACTGTAATGGCCTGGTGGCTTTTCAACTGCTTTACCTAGTGGACAGCTGAGTCCTGTTCAAGGGACATACCTCTGACATTGGGTACATGGAAGTACCAGGCCAGGTGCAGAAGTATGGTTGAAATGGAAATCCCAGGGGGAACAGGAAGTGGGAAATGTTTGTGACTTTCTGTTTCTGTACAGAAGACTAGTGAGTTTCATAGTGACATACATTTCCATATATTTCCTGACATTTCATTCCTGTCCCATTCCCATATCTTCAATATTCAAAATCTCTTCATCAGATAAGTTAACATTAATAAATAACCATCACATCCATACAGTGTCTCCAACAGGGTTCTCTATGTCCCTTTCAAAATAGTCTCTCCCTCTGTCTTTTCCCTCTCTTTGTTTCTTTCCCCCATCGCTCTCCGCCTCCTTCCCTGCTCTCTCATACACACACACACACACACACACACACACACTACTTACTAAGAGTGTGTGTTTACTCTTATCTAACTTGTTAACTGTGCATGTACTCTGTGCCAAGCACTGGTGAGTAAAATACATATGTTATCTCATTTAACCATTAAACCAATCCTAGAAGGTGAATAATTTTATCTTCAATGTTACAGATATGGAAAACGAGCCACAGAGAGGGTAAGTAAATTTCCCAGTCACATTTATTAGTCAGAGAAGCTAAAACCAGAGCAGACCGACACCAAAATCTATACATTTAACCAACACATTCTATGTCCTCTCCTCAGCCTCCTGCCATGTCCAACAAGTGAGTGTACTTGAAAAGTCTCTGACCTTTGTGGGTTGAATAAATGATAACATAAAATGAAATGCCTGGCAGATCTATTGCTTGTGGCCCTCAGAATGGATTTCTTTAGTGTAATTAATTTTTTTTTTTTTTGCTATTTATAAAACACCATGAAGTACTTTTAAAGACAAAAGAAGCAGACATTTTCCTGCAGTCTTATGTAATGATGAGCAATTTAGACCTAATCCTTTTAGCCCAGAGATGGCAGACTGACACTCTAAACAAAACTCATTGTGTTCTTTTGTGCTGCCATAATAAGGTATTTAAAGGATGAAATTCTGGCTGGCAGATGGATTTCTTGGCATTACTATACATGCATCACAGAAATTATTTTGTTTCAGAGGATTCAAACAAGATACTTGACATTTCTCAGAAGATATTTCCACTTGTAAATATGATAACTTGTTAGGTGGTGGTGTTAGTGGACAATAACAAAGGTTTTTAAGGCTTGTGTCCTGTTTATAATTTTGTGTGATGTGTAAAAAGTGAATTTATTGAAACTCATTCTAACTCAGAGTCTAGGTATTTGGTCTTGGTATATAATATTCCTATAGCTCCCCTCATCCACACGTGGGATTTCTCTGTATCCCATGGCACAATATATGGAAACACTCTACTATATACCCAAACTAACAGGGAATAGAGAACATTCAGCTGTATATCTTTGTGGCTGGAGTTGTTCCTGGAATTGAGTGCCTGAAGAGCATCCATAGTTCTCTCAGATCACTTCCTTTCCATACGTTACTTGAGGCTGCTATAGGTTATCATAATGCCACATATTCTTGGAGTACGGGAACTTGATTGTCATTAAAAAATTCAAGTAAAAGCTCTGGTTATGTAGGAATCTCCCTTGGGCCTAGAATAATCAAAAAATGAAAAGGGCCAAGAGAAGAACATAAGGGTCAGCCTTTTGCTTTTAGACAAGTGACTGCTTATATCACATAGTGGTGTCTCCTCTTCTTAAAGATCTCAGGGGTGGAGCCCTCACATGGTGCCTCACTAGTGTTAGCATAAACACAGAACTTCTTTTCTTTTTCTACCAAAATTCATTATTTCAGCAAACCCTCAAGGAGTATCCCCTAGGTATCTGGTATTATCATAAAGGCTGGTGATACAAGAGAAGGCAAGACAGCAAGGCCCCTTTGGTGGGTTTTAAAAAATGGTTGCAAAGTTCTTAGATACTCCTCACATTGAGAGATGAGTATACATTCCCTTACTTTGAATGTGGGTGGGTTTGTAACTACTTTGACTATAGAGTAAGGAGAAATGATGCTATGTGATTTCTGAGACCAGGTCATAAAAAGGTGATACATCTTTTACCTTGCTCATGAGAACACTTATACTTGGGGTCCTGAGTTATCATTTAAGAAGTCCAACTACCCAAAGCTACGAGGGTGTGAGGAAGCCAAGCCATATGTACATGCCCCAGGTGACAATCAAGCTGAGCTCCCAGCTGACAGCTGGCTTCAGCTGCCAGACATGAGAATGAGCGTTCTTGGACCTTCAGCCCGGTTGAGCCTTCATATGACCAATATAGCTCTGGACCACATTTGACAATGACTACATGGGTGGCTCCAGGTAGGATCTGCCCAGCTGAGCTCTTCTGAAAATTACTGTCAGAAAAAAATCATGAAAAGAACGAAATGAATGTAAGTTTTATATGGATTTGCTATCTATCAAGAGTAACAGATTTTGTTACCTGGACATGGGTGTTACCAGGACCAGTGAGCCTCAAAATGGCCATCAGTGAAGGCTTGAAGGAGGGTGAGTGGAATGGTATTGGGGGCTAGAAGATAGAAGATCTTTGATATATAGTGATAGAAAGTTTGGGAAAACTGTCACCTGCAGAAATAGAGAAATGTATCTAGTGAACTAATTGATCTGGCTAGGGCTATTTCTACGCTAAATGTTGAAAGTGACAACTAATTTCTTTTAGCTGCATATCATAAGATAAAGAGATATGAGCTAAAGTAGAAACTACTCCATTTTTAAGAAGAATGTAGGACAAATAAAAATGGCCCTTGATCTGCTAGTTTCAAAATAAAATATTTCTCATCCCTATTTTCTCCCTGAAGAAGACTCTCAAAAGTAAGAAAGAGCCTCTGGGGAAAGATCAAATCCAGGGTGCTGTCAAGAAATGTCTTAGAATAAACATGAAGCAAAATGTGTGGCTGTAAAACCCTTTCTTTTTTTTTTTTTAAGATTTTATTTATTTATTTGACAGAATGAGAGAGCAGGAAAGCACTAGAAGTGGAAGCGGCAGAGGGAGAGGGAGAAGCAAGCCCCCCGCCGAGCAGGGAGCCCGATGTGGGGCTCGATCCCAGGACTCGGGGATCATGACCTGAGCTGAAGGCAGACGCTTAACGACTGAGCCACCCAGGCGCCCCAATTAAATATTTCAATTCTTAAGAATGGGTTTTACAGGGGCGCCCCAATTAAATATTTCAATTCTTAAGAATGGGTTTTACAGGGGCGCCCCAATTAAATATTTCAATTCTTAAGAATGGGTTTTACAGGGGCACCTGGGTGGCTCAGTCGTTAAGCGTCTGCCTTCAGCTCAGGTCATGATCCCCGAGTCCTGGGATCGAGCCCCACATCGGGCTCCCTGCTCGGCGGGGGGCTTGCTTCTCCCTCTCCCACTGCTTGTGTTCCCTCTCTCGCTGTCTCTCTCTCTCTGTCAAATAAATACATAAAATCTTAAAAAAAAAAAAAAAAAGAATTGAAATATTTAAGGTGATTTCTCATAGACCTTTTCAAAAAGTCTACAGATCTTCAGGATATCCCTCCTAGGCCCTCTATTTTCAATTAACTCTTTCAATAGCTCTTCTAAGAATCTTAAAGGAATAAGTCCCCCATAGCCTCACAAGGAACCCAAGGTAGAGATCCACTCTGAGGTCAACTTTCCAGTTTTTGTTTAGGGACACACTGTTCAAGATTGAATATTTGAAGCAAAAATCAAGGTATCAAATCATTATATAAGCCAAAATCATGCCAAGTTACAGGTGAGGGATTTTTTTAGAGGTTTACCTCAACAGACTCTAAAATATAACTTTTTTTTTCTAGCAGGAAGTGTGTATGTGGCCATTGGGCTTTTGCCTCTTACCAAGCCCTATTTGTTGAGTCCCTCCGATGTAGGACATCCACTCTTGAAGCAGGCGTCAGGCATACATTGGAATCCCCACGAGACGTGGCTAACCTGTTAACCATACACTAGATACATTCTCAGGCCGTCCAATTCCAGGGAATGACAGAAGGATTTTGAGCTTGAAGAGAGCATGCTGGGTTGCAGTAGTGGCAGGTTTCAGAGGCGGAGATGTGAAGATTAAAAGGAAGTTTACGGACTTGGCATTAGGAGGTACATATGATCTCAGTCCTGCCAGAGCTTCACATCTGTGACGAAACACTTGACAGCATCCAATAGTGCACTTGATAATGGGGAGAGTTGCTGGGACTCGCACATCCACTTCCCCACCATGCACCAACAGGAAGGAGAAGAGTTCTCTGGAAATGTGTTAATAATAGTCTTTTGCAATGAGCCGTATGACAAGGTGTTATTGAACAGTTTGGAAAACCGGATTCAGTTAAAGCATGTTATTACAAGAGCAACATACAGCAAGGCCTTATTAGAGAAGCTTTAGAGTTCATGGGAGATCTAAATTCTCCTTGTTAGCAAAGCTTTATTCAAGAAGAGGAGAAAGAGAGGTGACAGATGTTGTCTTTATGGAACCCAACCAAATAGCAGAGTTGAACTGGAGGCCGTAGTTGAGACTTGGGGAGTTGCAGTTGATGGTGCTGGTTTACCACCCTTCCTAGTAAGTCGGCTTCCCTGCAAGTAAGGTCCCACAAAATGGTTTCCGACCTCCAGCCCTGGTCTGAAATTCAGAAAAAAAAAAAATGTGAAGCCTGGTGAGAGACTGTGTCCATTAATTTAGTTTTAGTGTATGACATCTGAGTTCAGAGAGAACAGCTAGGACCATCCAAGTACAAACTACCTTTAACTTAGAAGCTACCCATTTATATGGTACTTACTCAATGCATAAGGTTGCCAAAAAAGGAAAGTATCTTCCTCCCATTTTTTGAAAAAAATTGGTTATAGAAAAGATGGGTATTTTTTAGCAAACAACAGTTGCCATGGGAAACTTTCCTTAGCCATATAGAAATTAAGATCATAAAACAAGGAAGAACCAAGGAGATGAGTCGTCCCTGCAAGCAAAATTGCCCAATAGATATTCTGGCTCCTTCTTGTAGGAGGCAAGGATCATGCATGCAGGGGCTGAAAAGAAGAGAAGCTAATGCTTTTCCCTGTACGTACGAGTCCTTAACCTAGAAGTAAACCTTGATCCTGAGTGGAAAAGATGATAGAAGACACTAGTGAGAATTTTTTTTCAGGCCCATATTTTATAATGCTACAATCTGCTAGCTAAGGACAACTACATAGCCCCCAGAAGGCCACATGCCAGAGACATGTCGGCTGATGCAGGGAAACCCAGCTCGATTAGGCTGGGCCAGTGGCTGTACTGTCATGGGTGACCAGCACTGTGGAGGTGAATGTGAGAAATTTTCCCAGTATCCCAGTGACAGGGCAGAGCCAGAAATAAATACCCCGAGTGCCAGTTCAAATCCTCAAAGAGAAAAAGTTGTTTGGGCTCAAAGGAGGAGTTGGAGGCTCGGACACTTCAAATAAATTCAGTCTTGTTTTCTTTCCCATAACTTAAGAAGATTTTTATGGAAGGTGAGCAAGAGGCTGACTTTTCCCTCTCAGGGATGCCCTATAGGATGCTGCCGTGCACTACTTAGATGCCCTTGTTGGCTGGAATCTGGATGCTGATGGCTCACAGCTGCGTCCTCCTTCAGGCATTGTCCTTGGCTCACAGAAGCTGGCCTCGCCCAAGGTTATGCCCTCTTCCTGTGACACAGCACACATCCAGTGTCTGGGCAATGCAGGATACAAGGGCTTATCCCCCTGGCCTTGATTCAGGACATATCTAAAGGGCCACGCCACCTTCAGAGATCCTCATGGGATTCACTGAGGCTGTGAGACTGTTCTTGTGAGTACCTCACAGGTCAGCTTCTCTTCTCATGTGTCTTGGATTAGTACTAAATCCCTTAACAAATGAATTTAAATACTGGGTCCTAGCTTGATGTTAAAACACTTTACTAGATTCTGTGAAAATCAAAATTATGATCTGGTCTCTGCCTTCAAGGGGATTTTAACATATAGAAATGATAAATAACTACAAAATATAATACAAGGCTGTGTGGCCTGAGTATAAGGTGCCAAGGCATTCATTCATCAAAGCGTCAGCACCTACTGTGTGCTTTGTGCAGCAGTATGAAGATAGGTAAAATAGGCCCTGTTATTAAGGAATTCAGTGTGCTTGGGGGAGGGAAAATCTATTCTTGACAGGAGTTTCTTCACTGAGTCTCAATTTGTTTGTTTGTTTAAGTCCGCACTAATGTCCAAAAAGAATTTGAGTTGGATCATAAAAAGTAATTAAGTATTTCATGGAGGGTTGGGGTGTGATGGAGTGGGAGGAAAATTCCAGGTTGAAGTAATAACATGAAGGCAATAAATGGGAGACCAATTGCTCACAGTGGTTTCTGATAGGGTCTTCAAAGTGTAGCCGTTAAAAGAATGTTTACCCGGCAAATGGAATCCGAAGTTGGGAGAGGCCTGAAGATAAAGGTAAGGAATTATGGCTTTGTTTTGTATAAAGCATAAAGATTTTTTCTAGTTTATCTCCTATATTGATTTATAAATTCATTGTCTATCTCACAGTCTGTGTCACATCCTTTCCTTGTTTGTTGACAGTGATGTCACAGTCCCTATTCTTCATATCCTCATTTTATGAATTTCACTTTCATTCACTTCCATTTGTCTTCATCCCTGGCCATGTTTGTCATCTCTCTTTAAGAAACCCCTTAGCTTTAGGGTAGTGTGATACACAAGAATAGACAACTGGTAGAGCCTTTGGACTATTGCACGCTGATAGCAGTGAACTGATAGCAGTAACACTAGTGCTGACCCCCCCAATAGAGCACCAACCCTTGAGGGGACCTACTAGCCGAAGTTGATTACACTGTGTCCATTCCATCTTAGAAGGCAGAAATTTATTTTGAGTGAAGTTCTCTATGTGATTGCCTTTCCTGCCCACTAGGATCACTGGCAGCACCATTATTCAAAGGGAAACAGAATGTTTAACCTGCAAACCTGTGATCCTAAATAAATTGCATTGTACCAAGCAAAGCACTTTACAGCAAATGAGATGTGACAATAGGCACCTAAAAATGAGATTCACCGGTCCTATCACATATCCTGTCACTTGATTCTGCTAGTCTGATGGAATGATGGAATGGCTTTTTGAAGGTACACCTAAGGTGGCAACTGGGAAATTATACTCTACAGTGATATCTTAAATTCTCCAGGATGAAGAGCATTCCTTAAATCATCAACCATTATATATAATGCTGCGTTCCCTAAAAGGAAGAATACATGCATCTGGCAAGTAAGGGTTGCAAGGAGGAGGGACTTACCACTCCCAGTGACCCACTTGGGAAATCTATATTTCCTATCCCCACAACTCTAGGCTCTGTAGTTCTAACGGTTGTGATTCTCAGAGGGAGGATGCTTCTACAGGAGCTCCACTAAACTTTAGCTATGACTGCCCCATGGTTACTTTAGGTTCTTTGTGCCAGGAATCTAGTAGGCCAAAAAAAAAAAAAAAGAAAAAAATCCACATCCTGGCAGGAGTAATTGTCTCTGATCATCAGGAGAAGGTAGGACTGCTGTTAATAATAGGCATAGACAAAAATACATTTGTTACCCAGGTGATCTGCTGGAGAAAGAGTAGGGTGGAAGGGGGCTCTTGGTATTCCCCATACCAATTTTTATAGTAAATAGACATGTGCAGAAGCCACATCCTGAGAAGGTCACAGCAGCTAGGAGTTCAGACCTCCTCCTCTGAGGAGAGCCTGAATCATCCCACCAAGTAAGTGAGGAGGACCAGCTGATATGATACTCAAAGGTGAGCAGAATTTAGTAGTTGGGTTAATAGATGAGGGAGACTATAAATATCAGATGCATCCTAGAGAAGAACTGCAGGGAACACTATAACTTGTCCCACTATAGCTTTCCTAGGAAAGGATACCAGTTACAATCCTGGAGTTGTTCCCCTATGGAGGCAATATACTATATGAAGCAAGTGGAACTGAGTGGTACAGGAATGGATTATAGTGGATGCATTTGGACACTTCCCAGATTCCCCTTCAAAGTCAAAGCTTCATGATCTCAGATGTTGGTAGTGTTTGCTAATGACTTACAGTTGCATGCAACTCTGGGAATTGACCTTAGGCTGCCTTGCCCAAGTCTATGTACCTGTCCCTGGCTGCAGCTATATCCAATGATTAATTGTTGTGGGCAATGTTCCCCAATGTGGGACATCTTTGTAGGATCATCTCAGCCTTGAGAAATCTCTATGACATTGAGGCTACTGTTTCAACTGTATCTCATTTTAACTTCTCCCTCTGCCTGGTCTTGTCTCCCTTGCTCCTTCACAGATATTGATTCCAAAAGCACTCCCAGTAAACCTCCTGTATGCAAATCCTGGGGGAACTTTACCTGCAACAGTGGGGTAAATTCATAAACCTAAGTTGCTAGGAAGGGGAGATCCTGAGGCCTTTTTGGGGGTTTTGTTTATATAATGCTGAGTGTAAGAGCTAGTTAAACTCCACATAAAATAAGAATTCAGAATTCACAGGGAGCAATTTCATAAAAAGGGAACAAAATGATAGAGTTAAAAAAAAAAAGAGGAAACCCGATGAACATGAGTGGGAAAGCGAGGGAAAGACTTCTTGTTGAAACCAGTGAAGGGACTGAGTTTTGCATCCAGGTTAATGAGAGGAGGTAGGCACATGTAGACATAGGAGTCACACAGGATCTATGCCCCCTCTGACAACCTGGGGACTTCTACGGGTCTTTGAAATTGGTACTTTGAGGGGCAGAAAAATCCATGGCAGATAAGTAATTACAAAATACATTTGGGGGATGCCTGGGTGGCTCAACTGGTTAAGCATCTGCCTTCAGCTCAGGTCAAAATCTCAGGGGTCCTGGGATTGGCCCGCGTCAGGCTCCCAGCTCAATGGGAAGTCTTCTTGTCCCTCTGCCCCTCCCCCAGCGTGTAGTCTCTCTCTCTCTCATAAATAAATAAGATCTTTAAAAACAAACAACAACAACAACAACAAAAACCCAAAGTACATTTGGTGTATCAAGTCATATTTTTCTTTAGTGTTGATTTTTTTTTTTTACACTAGTATCTCTTCCTTCCTAAATGTATTATTTTCTATTTAATTATTTGCTGCTCATTGTGATTTATCAGCAGCTCTATTATAAACTATAGGGGTCATCTTTGACTTTGCTTTTTCTCAAAGGTTACATCAAATACACCTGGAAATTTTATTGGCTCTACATTTAAAATATATTCAGAATTTAGGAAGTTCTTCAGGCAAAAGGAATATGAGACCAACCATAAACTTGGATCTACATCAAGAAATGAAGAGCATTGGAAGTGGAATCAAGCAAGGTAACATAAAATTTTTCTTATTTTAATTGCTTCAAAAGATAACTGTCTAAAGCAAAGATGGTAATGTATTATATATTTATCATAGGTGTAAATATAAAATGTATGACAATAACAGCAGATGGAAGGGAGGAATTGGGTATATAGCATTTTAAGGTCCTTATACTACATATGAAGTGATATATTATTTTAAGGTAGATCCTGATTAATTAAATTGCATATTTAAAAACATACAACCATTAAAAGTTGTTTAAAAGGGCATATACTCCTATATTAGAAGTAAACTAAAATTTAAAAAAATATTCCATGATTCAAAAGGAGGGAAAAAAGAGGACCAAAAAAACAACAGATAGAACATTAGAGAACAGTTAGCAAGATGATAGAGTTTGACCTAACCACAGACTAATATCATTAAATATAAATAGTATAAACACACTAAAAGGCTCAGATTGTCAAACTGGACAAGAAAACAAGACGAAACTATATGCTTCTTCTTCACTCAGAGGCAAAAAAATCAAGGGGAAAATAAATGTTTTATAATTTCATTTTGCTAATATTTAAGGGTAGATGTTATATTTGAAGTTTTGGTAAACTCCAAACTACTCGTTATAGAACATAACTACTCTAAAATATTCAGTGCCAAATCTTTTCTGTCTCTCACTCTTTTTTTTTTTTAACCAAGTAAATTTTATTCACAGGTGAGCCATAAGGTACAAACCTTTTTTTTTTCTCTTAATACTTGTTTATTTCTGTGATAGGCCCTTTAGAAGTCCACTTATTGCAATTTTCATATTTCTTCCCATTTCTCAACATGAGTTTGTAGATTTTTCTGGTTTTTAAGTATGGTGTTTTTGTGAGTAAACATGGGATTCATAAAGGGCTGGGGCTGGCTGTGTGTATGTCCACATGTCCTGGAAATTACATTTCAATGTATATATGTATATTTAGTCACAGGGGGATGTACATTCATGTTTCAGTTTGAAAAAAGTTTGAAATCTTCATTGATTGTGTTTATAAGGCAATTTAGAGGTTAAGAATATGTGCCTTGGAATCAGACTCCCCGAGTGGGATTCCTAGCTCTGCCCCTCTTACTAGTTGTGCAATTTGAGCATATGACTAACCATGCTGAGCCTCTGTTTCCTGTATAAAACGGGGATGCTGATACTGACCTGGTTTGTTCTTTGTGTGTACAAGAAGAGACGATACATATACAAGGCTTAGCAGTGTATATAAAACTTAGTATTCAAATGACAATTATTATAATCATTAATATTTGTAAAATCCTATTTTTAAATAAGTTATGTAAAACTTGAAATAGTTTCCCTTTACAATGTTATCCATACTGGGTGAATTCCCAGACTCTATGAGATGGCATGCAGAAAGTCAATAAATACAAATAAATTACATTGTACAGCTGGATTAACTATATAAAACTGTCCTGTAGAAAGAACTGAACTCCTGTAGGAGAAAGAAAGGTCTGTGTTCATTCACTTATTCATTCACTGAACTAACAATTTGCAGCACCTTTGTTTTGCTAGATGTGTATCAGTCGTAATTTTCTTCAAGCAAAATAGACTCTGAGTTATGAAATCCTCTTGCACAGAAGCTCTATGAGTGAGACCAAGACGTTGTCCTGCACAGGGCTCACCCTCTAACCTGTCAGGACCTCCTCACCTTCTGCCATTGGAAATAGTTCCATGACTTTAGCAAGGCCTATACTCAGGGTTATTTCTCAGATTCAGGCTGGTTAACCCCATTTGTTTCCTACCAACAATATTTTTACTACTACTAACTTTCTCCCTACCTCCATCTTGATCCACATAAGATAATTTAGTTTCAATTTCTCTCGAAAGTTAAATGTCCCCAAAGAAAAAGCTACATCTTTTTTATTAGCAGAATTAGGGTGTGAGGTGAGGGCTAATAATAAGAGAGATTACAACTCAAAATATTCCCTCTCCCCCAAAAACCTGCATAAATAAATTATACTTGTAGTATAAAGCAATCTAGGTCCTGAAGTTTACAGTTTTTCCTTGATTTTTAACTACAACTGCATTTGCGTTCTTGAAACTCCCCTGCTGTATAAATGACAGATTCCATTTCGTAAAGTTTGCCCGCAAATTGGTTTTAGTTGTTAAAATTAGTTGTTAAACTTACCAAAAGTTATTGACTTTGAGACAAGATTAGGTTTTGATTTCTTTAAAAGGGCCAAATTGGCAGTTTTTCATTGGCATCACTTTCCAGACAATAATAAACTCATACTATTTAAGTCTGCTTCAGAATCGGAATGCTATATACAAATATGTGTTTATCAGTGTGGGAAGGGATCTTGCTTATTCTGAGAGTGCAGAGCCAGTTGAAATGACACTAGAATGTTGTTGGGATGCCCATCAGCATTTCACGATCTCTCAGTCACCCTGTGTTTTTCTGTCTAAAGCATAGTATATTTTCATCTTTCAGATCTTGAAAATTTAACTTAGAATCACTTCACTGGCTCTGTGAAGAACTGAAATAAAAGTTGTATTCAGCCTTTCATTATGTTTCAATTAATTATGATCCTAGGAACAATTTGGGCATGAGAATTTCAACTGTCAAATTTGCCTTCTGGGATGCTTTTCTTCCACAAATTAGTGTTTCTCAAAAGCATCCCATAAAAATATGACCCCGACATTCTAGACAAACAAAGCATCTGCTTTTTCTTTCAACAGTTCTCTTTGAGCTAGGAGATACAATTTTACATCTATAATTACATAGCCAACTATATTTCAAAAACATTTGTAAAAACTGGCATTCTCTGTCCTGCAGATGACGAAACCCAGGCTCTGTTGTTGAAGAACATATACTTTGTGAATGATTTAAAAAAAATTTTCACAGAAACTTGGCCAATGGCCTGATATGAGTGACGAATTTTTAGGCAGTTATTGAAATGTTTGCCTTTCAAAGCACTTCTTTGGAAAAGGAAACCATTCCCCTTGGAACCACCTATCAAACTTCTATTACCTGCTGCCACCGCTATCATTAATAACATGTGAACAGAACTTCATCTCTATATAACAACTGGAAAATCAACAGCTATTCATTCACCAGATGTTTTTTGAATTCCGTGTGGGCAAAGCTCTGTACTTTGTTTCATATAGGTGGAAAATATGAGACCCGACTTCCTCAAGGGGTTTGTAAGTAAATAAGGGAAAAGAGACATTGATGTAAGTAATTATGTCCTAAGGAAGAAAGGTCCCCTTGAAGATCCATTTTATTTTAATGTAGAAAATAGAAGTATAACCCGAGGTAATGTTTAAGAGACTCACATAAGAAGAATCCTTGGTCTTCTTCACTGTCATTTCACTGGGTCCCTTTCCCATCTCCTGCACTTCTCCTCAGTCCCCTGCACCTCCTGCAAATGAATACAAGCACAGACCCTTAAGATGTACTCTTCTCACGGTATATGCTTCAGAATTTACACACAGCTACCTTTGCCGAGGCTTTTTCCATACTAAGCATAAAATAAATTCTACAGCTCAAATACCAATCTTGTGGCTTGTTTCTCTCAAAGTGTTGCATATATTTGGTGTCATTTAATCTTAACAGCAGGGCATCCATAGAGATTGATTTATTAAAAGAATCTGCTGAGATGTACACAGGCTGTTATCCAATAGTTCACATATCCTGTTAGTTATGAGACTGGCATTAGAAGCTGGTTTTCCAAAAGCTCTGCCCAAAGAAATGCTCTATTAGGCTTTACTGGTAGTTTATAACAATGATTATTAGTCCGTAGTTATCCAGAACAGCTAACCTTGCCATAGAAATGGGCCCTCTCCAGTCTTCCAGGGATCGTAAAAACCAAAATGAGCAGAGTTTAGAGCTACACGGTATCAGGAGACAGTCACTGCTTCACATGCTGACTTCTAGCTACCCCACCTTGAATAATGATTAGATGCCCTCAGGACCCTCTTCCTACCCATCAACTGGGAACACAGAGCTGATATTGGAGAATAGTGTGTACAATTTGGATCCATAATCCTAGATTCCAGTTCTACTTTTCTGAAATCTTTTTTTTTTGGGGGGGGGGTCCCACGGATTATACCACTTTCCCCAAGTAGTTAACTGACAAAGTGTACTTTTGCTTTTAACTCTGAGCCCCACCCCCTTTTCAAATCTCCTCTTTCTTTTCTTTTTTTCCATGTTCAGATGTCCCATTATTTCCTCCTCCTGATGCTTCACCATACTATAGGCATTTATAAAACAGGCTGGGGCAAGGGAGTGGTGCTGACACAGAAAGACTATTAAATACTCGAGCACAAGTGCTCTTTCAGACTTTATTTACTTTTCACATCCTATGTTCACTTCTGACTGTGAAGGGCAACCATGTCCTTGGTATACCAATCAACCAAAAACAATACATCAAAGCTCTACTCATGTTCCAGGAACTGTCTAGCACATCATCTCTTTATGTGTAGAGAAAACATCTATTGAATCTCTTCCTACAACTTTAACATTTAGACATCCTTCTCCCTTGAAATGTTGCTCTGATTTTTGTAGTGTTGTACTTTTCAATATAGAAATATCTACCTAAGAAAAAAATGGAAAACATTAATTTAAAGCAGGCTTGCATTTTCACAAAATATAAGTATTCATAAAATACCCAAGCTATTAGCTATGTTGATATCTTTCATGGACTTATCAACAGTGTTTTCTTCAAAGTATCCTGAAGAACAGTAGTAGTGAACAAGATCTCAAATTCTCAACTAAGCATTAAATGAATGTTCAAAGTAAGAACTGGTGCTAGGATATTTGTTTTTTTAAAAAAAAGTCCAAGTCCCAGAAAATTATGTTGATAATACCAAAGCATTCATAATAAAAAAAAATCTTATTCAACTTATTTTCACTAAGGAAAAAAAACCCAGATAACAAATAGAATAAGCAATAGCATCATGCCTCATTTACCTCCAAAGTTAAAATTGTAGATGACTTCCTATGAGCTAGTAATTTATTTCCAAGTCAAGTCTGTTCTTGTTGGAGACTTCATTACACTGGATGATTCTTCATTGCACTGAATCCAGATGTTTTCCAAAATTCTACATCAAACAGCAAAATGAAAGCCAAAATTGAGAAAAGCTGGGTTTGGTTCTTATAATTTTCACTCAATTTTTTCAGGCTAATTTTGTTTTTAATTAAGTAAGAGTAGATTCTTCTAATGACAATGTTGGTAATGACTTCTCCAAGAGAAAAATGAAGCTGTTTGATGTATTGGGAATGGGTCTAAGTTCTCTAAGTCCTTTAGTTCTTATTCTTTTGAAACATTGTTTCTAATGAATTGAGTTATTTCACATTGAAGACTCAGGTCCTGTTGTAACATAAATGCCATTGGCAGTTATCTGTGAAATGCTTTGAAGAATAGAGTTGGCCAGTGTCTCTTCAGGATTCCAAAAAGCCAAACTCAAGATTTCCCACATCCTTAAATGCCACTCTTCTACCACCTCTCACATTTGGCTCACTAAACTTTCTGCCAAGATTCACTGAGGAAGTTAGAGAAAAGAAGGGTGAGGAACAAAGAAAAAGTCACTGAAAACGTAGGTGTTTCGGCATAGACCAGTCCTTTTCTGTCATTTTACAAAGAATGTGCTAATGAGATTTCTACTATCAATATTTCCTTAGGTGCAATATTATAATGATCTACAGGGCAAGAACGGGATTTATGGGGTTCTATTAATTCAGTCCTCAGTACCATACCAACAATGGCACTTAATCCATGCTTTTAGGTAATCCTTTCTATAACTCAGTGGAGCCAAACATCATGGATTAGGAGAGTAACAAGCAAATTCCATTTTTTTTTTACATAAATAAAAATTGAATTCCAGAGTTTTGGATGAGACATGGCCTCACACAGGTTCCAAGTCTCCCATTTTAAGATGCCCCCATCTTAAAGCCACATGTGCTGAAAAATATTTTTGCCTAAACTTTTGGTAACTGCTTACACACAACCCGTACAACCCCTCCATCAGTGGAGTGTGCTGTTGTCTCACTGCTCTCTCCTTCTTTGACCATTCTCCCTCTTCTCTTTGATTCATTATTGTGTTTAGAGAATGCTGTTAGTAATCCTGATGCGGTCTATGTTTTTGAGCTCTTAATAGTCTTACACATACAACATAATAATGACACAGTGTTCTACCTGGGTTGTGTGGGCTTGATCTCCAGAGCTAGATGGGAAGTGCTTGAACGGCAGAGCCTATGTCTTACCATTTTATCATCCCCTCAGTGCTCCCCATTGCTGGACACACAGGGAGACAAATAATGTCTTCCAAGTTTCCCAGATCCTGCAGAACTCCAGACCTCTCTAGCATGATGCCCTCCTGTGTTCTGCCACTGTAGAGATCTTACCCCTGAAACGTTCTTTCCTCACTCCTGTTTCCTTGCTACATGGTGAAATACCCTGTCCTGAGTCTCCAGTTTGATATGTAATTTTTCTAACAATAATGATTTATGATTATGTTTTATTTATTTATTTTTTACCAGCAGCCAACTAAAGATAAGGCCCAGCCTCTTTAAACTGATGATGAACAAAGATCATGGCAAATCAGTATTCAAAAATCTGGAGACATGTGGGGTTTTGAAATCCCTAAAATTACATAAAATAGATGGCTAAGTACTCCAGCTGGGCATCAGGATAGGTTTAGTCCCCACATCCTGGTCATTCAGCATGTTGCTTGTTCTAGTTGTTTCCTTTTGGCTTCAGGGGAAGCTGTTATAGCAAATGTTGATCACGAATGAAAAAGGTCGTGCTGATTTTCAAAAGTATAAAGTACACTGTAGAAAAGAAAAAGAACAGGTGAAATGTTTTAAAAAAATGGAGCTACTATGTTTGACAGACTTACAGATAGAAAACAGAACTCTGGAACTAGCACAGGAGACATAGGGAAAAGGGCCTCAGTGTTTTTAAAGAGCTAATGAACTAAGCAAATCGAAAAGAGAAATAACTAGAAGTGAGTTGACAATAATGGCAAAAACTTGAATTTTTTAGAAACATTGTATCTCAAGCATTAGTCACACTATGCATTGATCTTAACCTCATGATCAAAAACATGATGTCAAGTGTGTGAGTAGTAAAGCAGGGCAAGTTTGAGGGAAATAAATTGTGAAAGTTGATTATCTTCTTATAATTACAGTGAGGCAACAATTTTGTATTTATAGTGAAAGTACAGTCTTTAAGGGTCTCTGGAAGAAGACTGATTGATCTTTAAAAATTTCTTTCAATGTTGAATTAGATAAGTGTATTTCTTAAAAATTTTTACATTTCATCCAAGAGAATAGAGTTCGAATCCAGGCTGTTTGTGAATAGCTTATGGAAGGGGTAGGACTGATTTGTGATATGCAATTATTGGCCTTTTGAATTATTTATGGTTTTGTGAAATGTTGAGTTTCTTAATTTTAATATTTGATCTCACCATATGCATTTCCTTGGTAAACTAAAGATTTATGGCAGTATAATTAGGATTTCATTAAACAGGATCACTAGTCATCAGATTTTAGTCCATTATGGTCCATTAGATCTTACTAGCTGCATAAACTTGAGTAAATTACTTTTCGATGCATAATTTTCTCATCAGTAAATTAAGTTACTAATAGTTTCTATCCCATAGGATTATCATAAGGATTCAATAAAAGAAAACATGTAAAATACTAAGTATGGATCAGCTATAAAGCAAGTATTTGATTAATATTATTTTTTATTCCAGTGGTAATATGGGTACCAAATCTTAAGCCATGACTTGTAGAAAATGTCTTAGGGAAAATTGCAAAATCCAGCAATTAGTACTAGGGAGCCATCACTTCCAGAGATTCTGTCTGTGACATATACATACTTTGAGCCTTTAACAAAAAGGAGTAGTGGATTTTCATAGATAAAAATATACATATTAAAATGTTGATTGATTGTCATTAGGGAATTTTTAAGCTTTATAATATTTTGCTTGTAATGTATTTCTGGGCAAATTAGTTCTTTATATGTATCAGAGCTTACCATGGTTTTGGCCACTTTTCTCTTAACATAATACTTTAATGATCTGATGTCTTTGATCACCAGATCTATTGTTTCTTTCATACTAATTTTAACATGTTCACCAAATAAGTTGGTATAAAATTCTTAATTCTTCCTCTTAACATTATTTTCAACATTAATTATAAGTTAAATATGTAGAAAATATGATGTTGGGGTGGAAGGGATTGGTATAATGAAGAGGTAAAAAGAACATTAGACTGAGTTTTTTGTTTTTGTTTTTTTACGACAGCTCCATGCCCCATGTGGAGCCCAGCACAGGGCTTGAACTCACC